ACCCCTTTTGAACGAAAGCGATGTACTGGCCATCATCAACACGCGTCGGTATGTAACAAGGAACTGTCCATGGCTGCACCATATACTTCAAATATGCAGTTACTCTTCGTCGAGGCTGTGAAGATCGCGCACGATCTCTTCCAGGTAACTCGTGATCCTTCCCATGGCTACCGGTATTCGTCCACCGTGCTGGTCACTAACGTGAGGGGATGTGACTTGGATGACCCGAGTTTCCTTCGACAACCTGACGGCTCGATTGCGAGACCTCCATCGGGAGGGCTCGGGTGTCCTGCATGCGCGGATAACGTTAACATGGACTCCCTCTCGCACTGCAGGTGGTGCGATCAGGACGACTACCACTAGGAATGTCCGAGCTGTAAGAAGAACTTTTGGAAGAACAAGCCTGGACACGTACTAATTCTTGGCAAATGCAAGTTTGCCAAGCCTTGGAAGTCGCCCGACAATCATGGACATATACCGCCGGTCCCCGCCGAGCCGGCAGCGGGGCCCGCGCCGCCAGATCCCGCTGAGTTTGCAGCGCCACCACCCGTGGCGCCAGCCGCATCACCACTTACGCGGCTGAAAGCACCGAGACCCAGCTCCAGAGCTGGACCTACAGCGGGCGCAAGCAGTCACGACATTACTGTAGGAAGACATGCTGCTGAACCCGCTGCAGGGCAACCTGCCTCGAGCGGGGCTGGTAGTTCGGATGGCCATCTCCGATTACCACAGGTTAGAGTCAGACGCGGTCGACAACATGGTGGAGAAGCACTTCCACCACCACCAGCGGGGAACCCTGCTGCACGACCACGACTACCAGACTGGTCATGGTTCGATGTACGAATCAGTCTACAAAGCTTACGAAGCTTTGACCCCAGAGTGATAACACGCGAGTTGCGAAAGCTACACTTGCGCCGGTTCCATGCGAAGGAGCCGAAGACGAGAGTCAGCTTAAGCAAGATAGGTCTGGACAGTGTCAGACTTAACCTAATTAAAGGTGTCTGCGACACATGCCGAGAACGCAGAGCTTGGGACAAGCCTGGGCACACTGTTGTGCCCTCTACTGCATCACCTGGTAAATTTCAGGAGGAAGTGGAATGTGATATGATGTTCTACAAACAAAACACAATATCTTCCATCTTATCGAACGCTGTATACGGTATGCTATTGGGTAGGTACCAGACAAGACTATGACCAGCATCCTGGATACATATCATCAGTGCTGGATGCAGTTTGGACCGGCAAAGGTACTCTACTCTGGTGGAGAGGGCGCCCTTAACAACGACACTGCGAAAGCAGTCTGCAAGGCAAAAGGCACTGAACTGAGGACACGTGCGCGTGGACAGCACGCTACAACGATCGAGGCCCCCAATGGCATCCTACGCCATTTACTTCACGCCATGGAGGCTGAACCCAATAGGTTAGATATACGTCTCGTGTTCACCCGACTACTGCATGAAGCCCGGTTCGCCGCCAACGCATTCACATTCTATAGCGAGGTGTCTCCACAGAACGCTCTATTTGGACAGCAACCAGCAATGCTCCCTGACCTACCTGTCTTGGACCACGAGCAGCCGACTTAAACGTCGGACCACTCTCGTGAACAGGCGATACGCAGGGCATGTATTGAAATTCTCACACAGGCCACAGCAGTAGCTAAGACCAATCGTGCCTTACGCGCTAAAACGACTATCACTGGTCAGCACTATTACGACGAAGGAGACTTGGTCGATTATCGTCGCCCCACGACCACGAAGGATGACTGGGGAGGCTGGAATGGCCCGTTGCCAGCTGTAAAGAATGATCCCGAAAGGGGCCAGGTCAACATTCGAGTGGGCAACCGAGAAGTTCAAGCACAATACGGCGATGCATGGCATTCATTATACACTGAAGCACTAATAGCCCGAGAGATTGGCTCCGACAGCACTGCACTACGCACAGTGTTAACATTCGTAGCCAGCTTATCAGCGGGGAGACCTGCTTTGACCTTTGGCTATGTGCCGACCAAGAAAGGGACGCTTCAGATGACGACCGCGAGCCGTTTATCTCCTAAGGTGCACATGGCTCTACAGTACCTTATCAGCAACTTCTTTCGCATTGAGAATGTATTTTCAGTCAGACTAGCCCAGAATATCCATGAGCTGCCTCCTGTCACTTATGCCGACAGCTGCACATTGGCCCACTAAGCCATCGATGTGAATCCAGGATTTCACTATTATGAAGCAGGAGGTACTGCTTTGAATATACACGGTATAACTGGATCAACACATTCGCGAATTGTTCAGTGCCTGAAGCCCACCAGACCTCAAGCAGGTTTTGATCAGGACATGTCGGAATTTAAAGAATTAGCAGATACACCGACACCTGAAGGAACCGCAAGAGAAGCCTCAGAAACCGAACCATAACATGACGATGGGCGGCTCTTTACGATTTACGAAGAATCAGAGGCTGATCTTCAATCACACGTTATGGTGATGCGGTGTGCAGAACTACAAGAGGAAAGGGAACTGTTGGAGGCAACTCCGCCAGAGGACCTTCTCGCCATACCTACACCGATGGTTCCAGATCCAAGTGTGCTGATCACTGTAGCTGATAAACAGCGGGGACACCTGCCGAGGTGGAGACGCACTCACGACTCCGATACCGGGGAGACGTACTACGTTCCAATGTGCACCATGGTCGAAGACGACAACTACGGACTGGACTCAGACGAAAATGGTCGATATGTCGAAGTATGCTTTACGACGGAAATGTCGAAGGTAGTCCTGTCCGAGCAAGAACATATGATACTAGATGCCGGCCGGGTGACCACTCTGCGAGTATGCGTAACCGCCGCTGCAACGCGAGCTGTGGTCGTCAAGGAAGACGACCTCCTGGCTAAAACTGACACCCAGGCGAATCCCGATAAAGTATCGAAGGCCCTCTACACTGAACTCAAGACATGGTTCGATACCAAGTCCTTTAAGATGCACTATATAGCCAAGGCGTCGAACATCATGACTTCGAGATAAGTATACAAATTGAAGCTCGTGAAGAACGAGAAGGGCGAGATGGAACGTACCATCCGACTACGCTTGGTTCTCCGAGGCCACATGGACCTTGAAGCTTTCGACGTAGAAACATGTTCGGGAACAGTGAGGCGGTCAGGCCAGAGGTTATTTGCTGGCACGGCAGCGCGCGAGAAGCAATGGATCACTGCTTCCCTTGACATCAACATGGCCTTCCTGAAAGGATTGACCTATCAGGAACTTGCTGCGGCTATGGGTGAAAAGGAACGCGTGGTGTGTTTTATTTTGCCGCTTGGATCGGCCACAGTGCTCCGAGCTCTCACAGGATTCGAGCACTATGACGAGTCAAAGCACTGCCTACAGCGCTTGAAACCAGGCACAGGCACCAAAGACGCACCACGGGCTTTCTCACTTCAGCTCAGGAGGACCACCAGAGGATTCGGTCTCCGACCCACGTCATACGACGAGGAGTTCGACACGAGCAAACACTTGCTCACGGCCAAGCATGTTGATGACAGAAATATGGCCGGCACTGAGGACACCATTGACAAGTATGTCACATGCGTTGAGGATACCTTTGGTAAGTGTAAACTCAAGCACACATATACCAATTGTGCTGTGATATACACCAAGGACGAGGACGGCAATGCCACTTTGGATCAATATGAATATATCAAACAGCTCCGTCCCATTCAACATCCCGGATTGACGGGCGCCGACGCTGACGCTCAGGCAACCAAGATGGTTGCAGACATGTTCGTCAGCCTCAGGAGCGCGCTGGCACATGCATTAATCACCCAGGTGTGGTTGATGGTGTATGTTGTATCTCTACAGCGCGTCCAAGAACCGACCAACATTCCAGTGCCACGACTGAACGCGACCACCAGGAAGTTGTAGGCCTGCCCGAAGAAGATAGTCTACCAGGCGATGATTCCTACGGGCGAGGTTGACCTGCATAGCGACTTAGGATATCGACGCCTGAGCGGAGACGCCGATGACGACGTCAAAGGCTATGGTATTCGCGGGGCAAACCTGCTACGACGTGGAAGCACGTCATCCAGTAAGTCTGTCGTTCGCTTGATCGATGCGCACTGCAAGTCTCACCGCTTGCAGGTCCGCTCTAGCTATTCAGCAGAGACGCTAGCAGCAGCCCATACTTTGGAGGACTGTTGCCCCACGATTGTGACTCTGCGCGAGCTCCACGCAGGGCCGCTCACGCCCACTCAGATGAAATATATACTGGAGTTGGGTGGCCTGAGCATCAAGGTCACTTGGACCATCGATGCTGAGTCTGTTTTAAAGTCCTTCGCAAGCAAAGACTTGAAACAGCCGACTGCGCGTGCCCTTCAGGACACATCGATTGGAGACGACAGATGATGGAGCGCGGAATCGTGCATAGCATTCAGTGGTGTGGCACCCGCGATATGACTGCGGATGGCCACACCAGGGGGAGCATCGACAGAGAAATGCTCCTACGAGTCATGGGAGGTATACAGACCTTCAAACATGACCTGGAGAGACATACTCCATACCGGGCCGACCAGACATCAAGTTTTGACGCCGCCTGATGAGTACGTCACGTACATGCGAGGCAACTTGCGAGCGGGTCCACCTTCCTTTAGGCCCGCTTCCTTTTCTGTCCTTGTGTATGTTAGCTGCTATGCCTGCTGTATAGGGGCGACGGGCTTGCGCTTCGTCCCCCTCCCCCCCCGACTCTAAAGCGAGCTGAGGGACGTAAGGAGTGGAAGCGAGCGTGCGCCCGCGGCCGCGTCGGCTCAAGCGGCCGGCCGCCCAAATATGACTGCGCCTCACTGCGAGGCACACAATCGCTATCGAGACCAAAAGGATTTTCCTATTTCTTGAGATGGCATCTCCTTTCATATTGGGACTATCGTTACTACGGTATTACAGAGCGGGAGCTTGGCTTCGCCTGAGGCGAAGCTGTTGGCTGGGCCTTCCAGCCCCCTTCAAACTGGGGCTGCGGCGCTCCGCCTGGGGCAGTTTCGCCAGAGGCGGCAGCGCTGCCCGCGGCGCGCTCGGCGGCGGCGCGCTCCAGCCTGCGCAGCTCCTCGAAGTTGGCGGAGACGCTCTTGGCCAGGTTGTCGTCGGCACCAACCCCAGCGAGGAGCTTGCCGACGACGTCCATGTCGATGCACGGGACCGCGGCTCGGAGCGAGTGGACTCCCTGCGCAGGTTGAAGCGCCTGCGCGGCCGGCATGGCCCTCGCAGCCTCGACCTCCAGGAGCTTCTTGGATGTCGCTGCCCTGCTTCATCGGCCTCCACGATATGTTTCTGAACCTCCGCCAGCTTCTCCTTGAGCTTGGTGGTGGCTGCTTGCTGGCGCTCCCGCTTCTTCTCGAGCGCGGAGGACCGATTGGTGAGGAGGTGCAGCTTCGTCCCTATGGGTTTGTCGGCCAGCACCTTCGCTCGGAGCGTGGCCTGCTGCTGGAGCATGTCCTGCTTCGCCATAACCAGCACAGGGTCCGGAGGGTTCCCGATGGCCTGGATCGCCGATGCAAGCTCGGCCAGCGCTGCTTGGGCGTCTGGTTCGGCCCCCTCGTCGGTTTCATGGCATCGGGTTTTTGCCCCCGCTTGGCGGCCAGCAGCTGCTTGACCTTGGCGATCTCGCGATTATTTTCCTGGAGGGCGGCCTTAGAACGCTCGGCCTCTGCTGCTGCCTTGCGTTCGTTGCCGACCTTCTTGACGGAGACCGAAGGGGCGCTGCCTGCGGGTTGCTCCCTCGGGCCGAAGAAGACGAGGCCCTTGGACTGCTCGCAGGACCCGCACTCCTTCTTGTCTGGATGGTTCCACCAACGCTCACCCGTCCTGGGGTTGGTGCACCACTTGCTTAGCCACTGCTGCGCCTGCTGCAAGCGCTTCTGCTGGTGGCCATTGGCTGCCATGAGTGCGGTCTTGCCGCGCACTTGGATGGCGGTCTCGCCGCACTCGTCGTTGCACAAAGTGGGCTCGCACTCACGTGCCGTTCCGAAGTACGTGGACACAAACTCGAGCTTCACCCGTTCTAGCCCGAGCCGAAACGGCTGTCTGACGTAAAAAGGAGTGGGAGGAGGAGGAGGAGGAGGAGGAGGAAAAGGAGGACCTTCCGCTGCCAGCCAACGGATAAAACGCCTGCCAACTATCAGTTTCTCCCTGCCGCATCCCCTTTGACAAAACAGGTCGCTTCTACGGATGGGGGACCTTCAGGCGCCCCCAGGGCACGCTGCCACGTCGCCTGCCACATATCCCCTCTCTTTTTATCCCTTCTCCTGGGGCTCTGATTTGATAATTGTCTGTCTCTACCATTATTTCCTCCATCCTCCATGTTGCCGTCTTGCGTTTGCATAATATTCTCCCCACAGCCGGTGGCAACTGCCACCAGGCTTTAAGTTTAACCAGCCCCTCAGGGCCGGCCGGCCTTGGGGGGAGGGCGGCTGTCGGTGACTCCTCACGTCATCAGGAACCAGGGTGCAGGAGGAGGAGGAGGAGGAGGAGGGAACTATGATGTCCCTAGTGACATCCAATATCTAATGCTTCCATTGCTGAGTTCCTGCTGTGCGCTGCGGCTGGCTAGCCCCTGAAAGAACGCGCTTGGCTTGGGAATAGACAGTCGGAGGCTCTCTTGCCGTCTTTTCTAACGGCGTTGAGCTGCCTCCCCCCCGTTGGCTTCGATCCTGGCTAGGGAGGAGGGACGAGGGAGGAGGGAAGGGGAGGAGGGGGAGGAGGAGGAGCAAATGGACAGTGATGAAGAAGTGCTGGACTGAAGGATGAGTGGAGATCTGCGGGGGAAAGGGCGTTTTGCGCGCCCCCCGCGCGGCGGCGTGCGGCCGCGGGGGCCTCGCTGCAGCGCCGCTCGCTTCTGCCAGACTGGCTGCGCAGGATGAGCGGGAATAGTAGGTGGTGGAGGAGGGGGGGAAAGAGGAGGAGAAAGAGTGTCCGAGGGTGACGAGGTGGAAAAGGGGGATGTTGAGGAGGAGTTCGGGGAAAGAGGGGCAGAGCTGTAGGATGATGGGGATATGTAATGGGATATCCTCGGTCGAATGCCCGATCCATTTGCGATGGATCGGCCCAGGATGCGCACTGAGAAGCTGCCCGGATTCAGGTCCAAGAGCTATGTCGTGTATGTATTGAGCTACAAAGTATAGAAGTTTTGAGCCTTGGGGATCTGCCGTCTACCGGGTAACGGGTCACTCGGGTATGACGGCCAGCGGTGTGCGTATGACAACGTTCGAGTGAGCCCAGCCGATGGCATCATTCAGCATGCGCTGATGCTCACGACGTCGGAGGGCAACCGCAGTACACATTATCCTATGTGTCAGGTTGTACGGTCCGTCGTCGCCAGGGATACCAGCGGAGTCATACCGTCGTGGGTTGTCCCAACCCGCGCATGTGCAATCGGCTCCGCTTTAAGTGCATTGTTTGTACAGTTGGACTTTTCATGACTTGCGCTCATACAAGATCATTTGCGTGACAGCAGGAGGTGGACGAAGGCAGCGACGATGACGAACACGATGAGAAGTCAGCGGCGGAAGAGACGGAGGAGGTGGTACAGTAAGAGGAGCATGATGATGGTGGTTATACTGATAATGCTGATGCGGATGATGATGATGATGATGATGATGATGATGATGATGATGATGGTGGTGGTGGCGAGGGTGAATATGATTATGATAGTGGTAGTGATGGTGATGATGATGCTACTGACGATGATACTGCTAAAGATGATGATTATTATGATGATGGCGATGTTGCTTATCATCAGGATGATGCTGATGACTGTGCTGATGATGATGATGCTGACGATGATACAGTTGATGGTGGTGATGATGATGGTGATGATGATGCTGACGAAGGTGCTTATACTACTGGTTATGGCGCTGACTGTGATACAATTAGGATGACGCTGATGCGGATGATGTTGTTTCTGATGATGATGTTGATGCCGCTGATGATGCCGACGACGATGATGATGGTGATGATGATATTGATGGGGATGCTGATGCTGATGATGCTGATGCTGACGATAATGAACATGGTGATGGCGATGACGATGCTTTTCATGATGATTATGTCTTGCGTTCGATGATGATGATCATGGTGATGGCGATGAAGTTGATGCTGATGATGGTGATGATGATGATGGTGATGATGGTGATGACGGTGATGATAATGATAATGCTGATGACGATGATGCTTCGTAAAATCGTTAGAGTTATTGTTGCTGGTACTTTCTTTTTCGTATCAATATGTTGCTTATGTACTCTTGTTATTATTCGTGCGATGAGGAGTGTGATGATGCTTCTGATGGTGAAGGTGGTGCTGATGCGGACGATGCTGCTGTTGATGATGATGATGTTGTTGCTGACGATGCGGATGGTGATGACGATGGTGATGATGATGATGACTGCAAAGGTGATCCTGATAATGTTGATGATGCTGCTGTTGACGATTATGAAGCTGTTGCTGTTGATGATGATTATAATGATGATGATACTGATGATGAAGACGATTATGATGCTGATGATGATGATGTTTGTGATGATGATGATGACGATGACGACGACGACGACGATGATGATGATGATGATAATGATGATGATGATGATGATGATGATGATGATGATGATGATGATGATGATGATGTTTGTGATGATGATGGTGATGGTGATGATGCTGATGGTGCTGATGTTGCTGCTGCTGATGATTATGATGATGATGATGATGATGATGAGGAGGAGGAGGAGGAGGAGGAGGAGGACGATGACGAGGACGTCGATGAGAAGGAGCGGGAGCGCAGGTGGAGGGAGAGGAAGAGGAAAGGGGATAGGGTAGGAGGGGGGAGATACGGGCGGATGAGGGAGGGGGGGGGGTCAGGGGGGAGGAGCGCCAAGAGCAGATACAGGAGGGAGCCTGGCCGCAATGGCTCGCGCGCGCGGGAGAGAGAGAGAGAGAGAGAACAACAAAAAAAAAAGAGAGCGACAGCAGGAGAGTGTGGTCGAGCAGGCCGTGATTGCGGGAGAGGGCCGTGCCCAGGAAGTTTCTCTTTGAACGGCGTCGAGGGCTCCATCTTCCTTGGAAGGATACATCTTTTTCACGGTGGAATCTGCACCATGCTGGCCTAGCGCCTTGTGGTTGATGCTGCGAGTATGTCGTTGAATGGTTAGCGCCGTCCGTCTTGGAGTGAAGGAGCTTTGACACGAGCTGGGCCCTGCAGTCTTTCGGCGAGAGCTGCGGCATCGAGCGGCCAGCTCTCGCAGGTCTTGGAGTAGACCTGCTCGAGGGAGCTGGCGCCCGAGCGCGCGTCGACCATCGATCAGGATGATATCGCACACGTTTTTGCGTAGTGCAAGAGGGCCGGCCCCATGAGTTATCCAGGGTTGGGATGGTTCTTCTGGATGCCCTTCTGGTTCCTTCGGGGTGCCCCCCCTCCCCTTCTCGAGGGCACACCCTCCCTGAGAAGCAGCGCAAAGCGATGCAACACATGTGCTAGGCAACGCAAATCGATGAAATGCAACGCAATACACTGTCATATACATATACTGCAGAGCAATCTAGAGCACACTTGTACAACGCAGTTCAATGTCATGCACAGCGATGCGAAACACTGCGCAGCAGCACAATGCGATGCAACGCAAGTCAGCTTAAGTCATGTCAAAACAAAGCGATGTCGAGTACGTTAAATAAACTCAACTCAAGCGGTTGCCAAATAGATGTTGTGCATGCGCACAGCAAACATGGCTTCAGCAAATCAAGAAAGTTTGATGTGCTATGTAATTCGGATCAGCACAAATCATGGCAGTTGAAACGCATTGCTGCAATGCCGCATGTGACGAATGCGTCAGCCAGTTTCTCGATCATGCTGTTTGTCAGTTTCTTGCAATGGGTTTCAGTATGCTTGCAATATGAGAGAGAGCGTGATCCACCGCCGCTTTACTGTGGACCATTCCCCCCCTCTTCCTCCAGAACCCGGGGGTCCCCCCCCTCCGAAAATCCCCCCCCCCCTGCTGGAACCTTCCCCCCCCCATCCCCCCCTTCCCCCCAGAAAAATCTCCCCCTCCCCTAACCCGCCCCCATCCAGAAAACCGGAGGAGAGTCACTACCGGTTCGAGAACCCCCCCCCCTCCAGAAAACCGGGGGGGGTTACTACCGGTTCGACCGGTTCGAACCCCTCCCCCCCCCGTTCCAGAAAACCCGGGGGGGGGTCACTACCGGTTCGAACCTCCCCCCCCTCCTTCGAAAACCGGGAGGGGTCACTACCAGCTCGAACCCCCCCCCCACCCCACCCTCGAAAACCATGGGGGGGCGGTCACTACCGGTTCGACCCCCCCCCCTCTCGAAAACCAGGGGGGATCATTACCGGTTCGAATCCCTTCCCCCCCCCACGACGCTCACCGCCAGCAAACGACTCCTGGGTCCCTACCACCGTCCGCACTTGTCCCCAGCGCCACTGTCCTCACCACCACTGTCCCCACCGTTCCCACCACCGTCCCCACTGTCCCCACCAGTGCCCCCACTACTGTCCACTGTCCCCACTGTTCCCACCACTGTTCCCACCACGGTTCCACTCTCCCCACTTTCTCCACGGCCCCAACCATTGTCCCCACCGTCCCACTGTCCCCGCCGCTGTCCCACTGAGCTGTCCCACTGTTCCCACCACTGTCCCCACTGTCCCCACCACTGTCCCCACTGCACCTCTGTCCCATTATCCCACCGCCATCCTCGCCACCGCTCTCACCACTGTCCCCACCACCACTGTACCCTCCACTTTCCCACTGTTTCCACCACATTCCCACTGTCCCCACCACTGCCGTCCCCACCACTGTCCCACTGTCCCCACTATTCCCACCATTGTCACCGCTGCCCCCACCAGTGCCCCCACCAGTCTCTCACTGTCCCCACTCTCCTCACCATTGTCCCACCACGGTCCCACTCTCCCCACTTTCCCCACGGTCCCCACCATTGTCCCACAGTCCCCATTGTACCCACCACTGTCCCACTGTCCCCGCCGCTGTCCCCATCACTGTC